GGTCAGGGTCCCCTCTGGGTGCGGGTTTGGGGTCCCCTCGGGGTACGGGTCAGGGTTCCCTCTGGGTACGGGTTTGGGGTGCCCACCTGGCCGTGGTTTGTGGTCCCCTCTGGGTACAGGTTAGGGTCCCCACCTGGCCGTGGTTTGGGGTCCCCTCTCCCCCCCACCCTGCCAGGGCTGCCAGTTCTCCCACAGCTCCCACGGCCTGTTGCCTGCCCCCAGGAGTGCGGGTCCCTCTCGCCGTTCACCCCTCTGAGGCCCCTCCGGGTCCCCAGTGCCCAGCTGTCCCCAGCCAGGCCACAGCAACAAGGGGACATGGTCTCTCCCCCAACCTGGGATGTGGGTTGGGGTCCCCCACACCAGCAACTTGCTCTGCCACAGTTGTTTTTTTTTTAACACTCCAGCAAATTCACAGAGCATGTCTGAGACACACTGTCACTGCAAACCTCTGCCCACAAATCCCACTTCCAACACTAAAAGTTGTTTTTCCTAATTAGAAAAGAAAAAAAAGAAAAACAAACCAACAAACCAAACCCAAAACCCACAAACTTCAGGGTTTCCACATGAAGCTATTCCAGAAATGTTTCTGCCCAGCCCAGCTGCGAGTGGGGATCTCCCTGCCTGTCTGGAAGAGGGGAGGTGGGTGGGGGCTTGGAGCTTTTCCCCTTCCCCCAGAGTAGTATTGTCCCCACGAAGGACCATTTGGTGACACCGTCTCACTCCTGCAAATGTAATCCCAAAATCACCCAATATGCTTAATATGCTTTTTTTTTTTTTTTTTTTTTTTCCCCAGGAGACACTCCAGGACAACCTGGATTTTCTACAGAAAGAGAGAGAAGACTTTAAGCCCGAAGGAGAGAAGCAAAGCGATGCCCTGCTGGTGTGTTTCTCTCCATGCACACACCATGCTCCCTGCGCTCACCCACCTATCTTCGTGGGCACGTCCCACCTTTCCCTCTCCCTGTATATATTTATCTCCTTTTCTGACACTCTTTTCTCTCGCCCTGTCCATCCATCCCATATATCCCTCTATCCATCCTGCTCTCATTCAGACTCTGCTGTTGCCTTGGCTCCATCTCCCCTCTACACTTTTCCAGCTTTTCCAAAAACTCTCCTTTTCCCCGTGCCCCGGTACCCCCCTCCCACAGCCAGAGGAGGGGACAGCTCAGGGCTCTCTCTGCAGGGGAAGGTGGCCTCGGAGCGGCAGAGGCTGCGCGACACCTTCGAGCAGCTGCAGCGGTTCCTGCAGGAGCAGGAGGGTGTCCTGCTCACCCAGCTCGACCAGGCACATCGGGAGCTCACCGAGGAGCAACGCCGGTATGTCTCCAGCATTTTAGAGAGGACATCACTGCTGGACACACTGATTGTGGAGATAGAGAAGAAACGTGACCAGCCCGTGGTTGAATTTCTTATGGTGAGGCTGCGTCACCCACCTGGGTGCTGTGACACCCCCAGACATACCCCCCAGAGCCTGTGTGCTGGTGGCCAGGCTGGGACAGCGTGGGGCATGCTGGGGCTGGTGGGAGTGTGGGCCCGTGGTGTGAGTTGAACACCACGGTGTGAGGCCGCCCCTCGATGAGTGGGTTCAGTTTTGGGCCCCTCACCCCAAAAAGGCCATTGAATGACTCGAGCGTGTCCAGAGAAGGGCAACGGAGCTGGTGCAGGGTCTGGAGCACAGGTCTGCTGGGGAGCGGCTGGGGGAACTGGGGGGGTTCAGTCTGGAGAAGAGGAGGCTGAGGGGAGACCTCCTGGCCCTCTGCAACTCCCTGACAGGAGGGTGCAGAGAGGGGGGATGAGTCTCTTGAGCCAAGGACCCAGCGCCAGGCCCAGAGGGAATGGCCTCAAGCTGCGCCAGGGCAGGGTCAGGCTGGCTCTGAGGAAGGATTTCTTTGCAGAAGGGGCTGTTGGGTGTTGGAATGGGCTGCCCAGGGCAGGAGGGGAGTCCCCATCCCTGGAGGGGTTGAGGAGTCGGGTTGACCCAGCGCTGAGGGATCTGGTGAAGTTGGGAACAGTCAGGGGGAGGTTAACAGCTGGACTGGATGATCTACAAGGGCTTTTCCAATCGAGGTGATTCTGTGATTCTAAGGGAAAGCCAGGATTTGGGAGAGCAAGTCACCAGAGAGCCCTGGGACAGCAGTGTGACCCCCCCGCCCAGTCCCCATCACCCTGCTTTGTGCAGCAGGGGGGCAACTAACTCGCTGCCGTGGGGTCCATGGTCCTTCTCGGCAGGGCCAAAGCTGACTTGGTGTTTTCTCTCTTTCAGGATGTTGACAAAACCCTGAGCAGGTATGAAATGGGCTCAGCACCACTCTACTCCTATGTTGCTCTTTTGGGTAGAGGTTTGGAAACTGCAGACGGGTGGCTTTGCCCTGCTGAGTCTTTGGGATTTAATGTGATGTTATCTGGAACGTTGCAGCCCTGTTAGAGACGGGTTTCCTATGCCTGTAGCTGGAACACAGCTCCCCTGAGTTCTGCTGCTGCAGGGGATTTTCCCCCGTTTCCCTCCTGGTGCTGGGTGCTGGCGGACTGCTGGGGTCAGAGCTTTTCTCCATGGTGTTTACCCCTCAGCTGTGAGGCGGCGAAGGCCCCGATCCCAGAGCCTGTTTCCCTGGAGCTGCAGAGGACCCTTGAGAGCTTCTCTGAGATGAGCCAGCTGGTTGTGGACACAGTGGCCAAATTCAAAGGTGAAGCAAAGAAGCGGCAAGTGATGCCTGGCTGTGTCTGGGCTCCAGGTGGGCGTGCTGCTGCCCCAGGGCACCAGACACTGCTGCTGTCTTTGTACTGTGCTTCCCCTGGGCTCAGCTGCAGTGGGAGATCCTCACTGCCTGCTACCTCTCCCCCGGGGTTTGGGAGCAAAACACACCTGCTCCTGACAGGACCTGTCTCTGAGATGGGCTTTGCTGGAGCCTGGGGCTGTGGGAGCTGGGGACCGAGCTCTGGATCTGGCTTGCAGTGCTGATGGGGAGCACTAGAGATGCCACGAGACTCATGCATCTTCCTTTCCTTCCTCTAGTGGACCTGCTGAGCAAAATTGACAGAGAAAGGGGTGAGTTTCTGGAGCTGATGGGCACAAATGAGGGTGAAAAGCTTTCCAGAATGAGTTTCCTTATGTTCCTGCACAGAGATGGGCTCAAGCCACAACATCTAAATCCAGGGTCTGTCTAAATCCATGTCCCTTTCTTTTGACTAGGCCTGTTATAAAAATTCAGCTTCGTCCCTGTGCCAGGCAGCATCCAGCAACGTTGTCCTCTAACACCAAACGGGGGCTGGGACAGCACGAAGCCCTCAGCTTCCCTGTCTCTGGAGACTATTCTTATGCCGCGATGTGTAACGCTGTGCCTAGTTAAGCAGAGGGGCTGTAGGCATTTTGAGCTGGCTTTTAGGCACAGATCAGAAAGGCTTTTGCAGATGCTCGGGGTCTGGGTGGTCCTGACACCATCACAGGCGCTGTTTGTGCTAGGGCTGGTCTCTGCCCTCTCAGTTTTTAGGATGAGGGACCTGATGTGCCTCAGTTTCCCCCACGCTATGGTTCCCACCGTGAGCTGGGGCCCCAGAGGTTTAGCAGAGGGCCTGGGGGTGGTGGCACTGCACAGTGACACTGCTGTGGCCTTGTGGGATGGCCGCGGGATGGCAGCAGAACATCCCACATGAACGGGCGGCTCCGGCACCGCGGCGAGGTTGCCTGATCACTTGGCAGAGCAGGGTTAGGAGCTGGTTTTCCCTTTGGTGAGCTTGTCCCTGGAGCAGGGCCCAGCCTGGCACCACTGCTGTCTTCCTCACATCCACAGGGATGCACTGCTCCTCCGCACCCAGCCTGGCTGCAGCCCTATCATGCTTAGACCCAGCAATATCCAGCACAGGATTAGCAAAGCAGGTTTAGCAAAGTCTGTAGTGTCTGTGAGGACGCTGCTCGGCTTCAATCCTACTTCAGGGAGCATTGCTTTGCCCCTGGGGGCTGGTGTAGAGGGCAGGGAGTCTCCCATGCCACCCGAGGGGGCTGTGGGCATGCATTTGCAGGGCACGAGTGCCCATGTTGCTCACAGGACATGTCCCAGCCCCGTGGTAGAAGAGGGAGAGGTGCTGGTCCACTCCTTGGCAGGCCATGGCCTGATTTTTCTCTCTGTCGTGCATTAGTGAATGTGACACTGGACCCCGAGACGGCCAGCTCGGACCTGACGCTCTCAAAGGACTGTAAAACTGTGCGGCTGGGAGATGGACAGCAAAACCTCTGCGACACCCCTAAGAGATTCACAGGCAGCCCCAGCATCCTGGGCTGCCCAGGGTTCACGGGTGGGAGGCACTACTGGGAGCTGGAGGTAGGGGACGGGGACAGCTGGGCTGTGGGGGTGGCCGTGGAGTCTGTGCGGAGGAAGGACTCGCTCAGCATGGCCCTGGGGAAGATCTGGGCCCTGCGGCTGGACTGGAACCACCAGTACACGGCGCTCCACATGCACCCCACTCTGCTGGAACTGAAGGAAGAGCCTCGGAGAATCAGGGTCCACCTGGACTATGAAGCAGGCCAAGTGACCTTCTACAATGCAGAGAACATGACACAGATCTTGCAGTTCAAGGCCTCCTTCACCGAGAAGGTCTTCCCATACTTTTGGCTCTGGTCACAAGAAACATATATTCAGCTGTGTGACTGAGGGGCTCCGGATGCCTCCCAGTGCCCTGCCCATGCCCTTGGCCAGCTGAGCAGGTGTGGGAATGGTGCAGTATCACATTGCAAACTCGCTGCAGCTGTGCCTGGGCTTGATCCCCTCTGCGTGTTGGTGCATCTCTTCCTGCCAAGTCCTTTGGAGCATTAAAGATGTGTTGTCCTGCTTGGGGGTGTCTCCATGCTGGTATCTTGGCCTGGCCAGGTGTCTCTGCAGAGCCTCCCTACCCTCGAGCAGATCAACACTCCCACCCAGCTGGGTGTCATCTGCAAACTGAGTGAGGGGGCACTTGATCCCTTATCTAGATCATTGATAAAGATGTTAAAACAGGAGTGGCCCCAACACTGAGCCCTGGGGGATACCACTCCTGACTGGATTTAACTCCCTTCACCTCAACTCTTTGAGCCAGGCCATCCATCCAGTTTTTTAACCCAGCAAAGCGTGTGCCCATCCAAGCCATGAGCAGCCACTTTTGCCAGGAGAATGCTTTGGGAAACGGTGTCAAAGGCCTTACTAAATTCAAGGTAAACAACACCCACAGCCTTTCCCTTATCAGTAAGCAGGTCACTGACTCAGTGTGGCCTGTGTGGGCAGGGTTGGGGTGCAGCCACCCCACACCTAGGAACTCAGGGTGGAGCCAGAGAGCTGCTAATAGTGGGGTTAACTGCTCAGGTCAAACTGTAACAGCTGTTGCTTGAAAGGAAAATGTTCAGGGAGGTGACAGGGCTGACTGGAGAGCTGGAGTGAGGTCACAACCCGAGCCTGGAGATGGGGGTGTGATGGGGATCTGTGAGGGCCTGGGTGGTCAGAAAGGGAGCAGATACCACGGTGTCTAATTCAGGAATCGGGAGCATTGTGTGGATCTGGTGGGTGGCAGGGCCCAGGCAGAGGGACAGGGGTTGTGTCCTGGAGGTGTGGGATCCTCTGACAAGACATTTATGGCGCTGTGTCAGGCTGAAAACAGCGGACCTGACGTGATCAGCCCTGCAGCTGGAGACAGCAGCCTCTGAAATGCCCACAGGGAGATCCAGCAGAGCACATCTGCCAGAGACTCGGCTCAACAGCAGGGATCTGCAAAACCTCTGTGTGAGGGGAAGACGCGACCTGCTGAAGCCATACTGCACGGCCTGAGCGCTTCACTGTGTCACCTTTTTTCTCCATCTGTAAAATGGTACCGTGCGTTTTGGAGCTGGGACTGCTCCCCCTGCACCTGCAGTGTCCACAGCCAGACAGGCCCGAGTCCTCTCCTTTCCACGGCATGGCCGCTGCCGCCTCCATCCTGCTCTGCAGCTGTGGGCAGGGCAGGGAAAAGACAAGGCAGGACAATGGATCCTCTCCTCTGACAAGCTGGGCATGCGTCCATTTTTAAGGCAAACAGCAGCTCCTGGGTAAATATCAGAGTCTGCAGAAGGCAGAGGACAGGAGCAAGGTCTGTCGAGGTTCTCTGGAGCGGCCCAACCGCGCCCACTGTCTGTGCTGGCACATCCAAGTCTCTCCGGTCCCACACCAGCCTCACAAGTGCCGTCACTCCACAGACCCCATCTCGGTGCCACAGGGGCGTACGCCGCGTCCGGTCGCTCCCCAAAGCGGCCGCCGCTCGCCCCGTGAGGCCCCTCATTTGCTGTTTGAAGGAGAAACCCCGCGGGAAGGCTTCCTCGGCTCGCCCAGGCCCAGCCGCCCGCTGAGTTCGTGCTCTTTTCCCCTCGCCGTTTCTCCTCAAACCCAGGGCAGTATGGCGGCCAAGCGGGCGCCTCACTGAGGCAGAGGACTACATTTCCCGGCAGGCAGCAGGGCCCCGCGCGTTGCCCTCCGCGGCGGTGCCTGCCGGGAAATGTAGTCCTTCCACCGCACGCATGCGTAGTCCGCGCGGCGCTCTCTCGGCCGGCTTTTCGATTGGGCGGGAACGACGTCAAGCAACAGCAGGGGGCGGGACGCGGGGCGCCCGCCGCCGTTCCTTATTGGCCAGCGCGCGCGCGGTGGGCGTTAAGGTTTAAGTAAAAACACCCTCCCCTTTTAAGCAACGCGCGGTTGTGATTGGCCGGGGGGAGTTTGGCGCGAGCTTCGGAGCGGGCGACGGGTAGCGGCTGGGGTCATAACGTTGCGGACTGCGCTGACAGCGACTCGGGAGGGCTCGGCTCCATGGATCGTGCACCCAGCGGTTCCTATCGCCGCCGCCTCCTGCTTTTCTCCCCGGTCTCTCCCGCTTCACCCGCCGTGGTTAAGTCTCTTTTTCCCGCCGATCTGTCGCCGGTCTCCGACCTCCGCTTCACTATGGAGCAGCTGGGACATGGGTGAGTCAAAGCGGGGAGGGGGCGGCGGGATTTCTGCTTAGCGGGGCGCCCCCACACACCCCGTCCCCCTCTGCCTTGCGTCCCCCTCTGCCTTGCGTCCCCC